ATAAATATACAGATATATACAAACATACATATATATATATATATGTCTATATAGATATACAGATAATATGTATGTTTATGTAGATGTTGACATATGCGTTTATATTGTCTTAGTGGTACTAGCCTGAAACTTTACACCGTCAACCGATGAAGCTGACGTAATGACAATCCTGTGCCTCATCCTGTCTTCGACGGCCCACATCAACAAATTCCATCATCTCACTTGCACACTTCAAGACGTAGGCGTTTATTAAAGCGTTAGGTCCTTAGGCACACGTATACATTGGGCACACTAGCTTATAAGGCTTGTAGTGAAACTTGCATTCTCAACGCTGAGGTCGAGACACTCACCACTCCTCTATAGATGGGACTCTGGGACTCTAAACCCTAAGGTCCTAAACCCTCAACCCAACTCAGAGCAAAATAAACTCTGAAGCCTCCGCAACTGAAACCGATTCCGAGCCTCTGGTGTCGCCTCCGGGATGCCCCGACGATTCACGGCGACCTGGGTATCAGGGCTTTACAACTTCCGGGCTTCTGGGTCGAAAGATATAGGCTTACAAGGGTTTAGGACGATGGGGTTTAGGGTTTATAGGGTTTATGGGGTTTTTAAGGTTTATAGGGTTTATGGGTTTTTTAGGATTTATAGGGTTTATGTGGTCTTTAAGGTTTATAGGGCTCATGGGTTTTTTAGGGTCTAGGGTTTATAGGGTTTATACGGTTGAGGGATCGGTTGGGGGAAGCCTGAACCTTGAACCGAGTGCCCGACTGGCCCGGTCGGTCTCGGTGGACCTCAGCGCGAGAGCTTTGACAGGGTCGGGGCAGCCTTACAGCCACGTAGTGGATTAATGTAGGGGCCTTAATAATTAGAATAGGGTTTGGGGGTATACTGTGCTATAATAATGATATAAGGAACCCCAAAACCCTATTCTAACTATTAAGGCCCCTATATTAGGGAGATCACTAGAAGGGCTATAAGAGGTTTCAGGCCTCATGTCCTTCTCGGGATTTATGAATGAAGTCGGGCCTCAAAATCCGTAAGCGCTTGAGTGATGCCAGGCGAATATCGGTGAGCCTGTCTACCCAAACCCTGCATCCCTAAACCCCTAAACCCTAAACCCTGGGGTCCAGCCTTCCTTGAAGAAGGAGGGTCCAGATACCGTCATGGGGCCCAGCGGAGCGTCTAGTTGAGCCGTTTTCAAGCCAATCACGAAACCTAAACCCTATGAGCCTTAAGCCGTCTTTGCGCACGGCACTTGAGATAGCGGCCTGGATAACCAGAAACACTTATACAGTGACCGCGCAGGGATGCCAGCGACAAATATTCAGACACATCAAATTACCACGACTCTCCTCAACCAGATTCATGGCCACTCATGATGCTGGCCCTTAGAAAATCTGAAAAGTTCAGAACCCAACCTGCCATGCCCGGCGGCAGCGCAGGCCGTGAGGGCCTAAGCAAGGCTTCTTTCCGGTGAGCCGTGCGAAGCTTTGGCTTCAATCCTTTGGGCTTCACAACTGCATCACTCGATGGCATCTACAGTACACGCTTTTTGCTAACCAAGCATTCGCACCTTGTCCAAGGTGTCAGAGTCGAGATGCACAGAAGCACCAGCTTTGGCAACCCGCTGGTTTTCCACAGCGGGGCACCCAGACAACCTGTCATGCATCAGAAGGCTGCTGGGATGTTCTGAATTCTCCTCGGCAAATCCGGGATGTCGATAAAGCGAGAACTCGCCAGCTGCGACTTCTCCTGTGCTCTCAAGATTCTCTGCATGCCTGATGCCTTGCTTGTGGGCAGCGCACCGCTGGGAGCAGTATGCTTGAAAAGGCCGATGGACGACCGCAAGGGAGACGAATGAACATCTCCTTCAGTATTGTAAAGAGTGTAGAGCGAATTCTGGTGTCTGTCTTCCCGATTGCCATGCGGATTTACAGCGATCATGTCGAGCTTCCAAAATCGGTTCACTGCTGTAAACCCGAAGGCTCCATGCCAAGCCTGGGAACGAAACTGCAGCATTAGCTGCCAGGCCCTGCAGCAACAAAAGACCTTGCAAACTTCGGACGCTATCTCTCTGCCTGCGCCTTTGACTGTACAGATCCGTCTAGAAGGAGCAGCAGCAAAATGCAAAAAGTAGAGCCAGCATTGCGCGCGGATTTGAAAAGGCCGGATTGGCTCAGTCCCGCCGTTGCACGGCCGTTTGCACTCAAATACTTCGTGCTTGGGCTGGACTTGACACACGCAGCAATACCACGAACGCATAGCCGGCTCGAAGGATGCTCGGTTGACATGTTGTGCCAGGTGTGCAGTCTCACAATCCGCTCAGGGCGCGGGGCGGTGCGTATTGTACACAGTGAGCTGCGAGGCATCCACAATGAGTCTAGATGCATGTTGATCCGTCTCTGGATCCAAAGCGATCTGTAGTTTTCCAGCATTGAAGCGGTGCCAATCACCCAGAAGCGGCAAAACCAGGGGGATCGCTGTGCTGTCCGGACTGTAGCCGTCTAGATGAATGGCACGGTTGACTTCGGGCTCGAACCAGCTTCGGAATTCTTCCCAGTCACTCTGCGACGGGAGGAAGTCGTCTAGGTGAACTTGCTCATTCATGCAAAGCTTCACCTCGGTCACTGGCATGGAATCCCTCTCCAAGTCCACGGTCAACTTCAGGGAGATTTCCTCTGGTAGGCACTCCCATCGCCCAGGCTCCATGTTCGAAGTCCATGAGCCCAGGGTCGTTGAGGACTCCGGGGAGCCTTCACGCTGTACAATGTCCTGGTTCAGGGCCTTGAAGTCCTCTAAGGGGCTCAGAGCATCGGATTTTTGGCATAGTTCCCTTGCAACCTTGGCCTCAACTTCCCTGGAGAGCTCAGTGTCCAAGCCGGAGAGGAGCTCCCAGATCTGTTGCAGCCGCGCTCTCACGCGCTCGCTGTGATTGGGCCCTGAGGAGTCGAGGTCAGACTGGGCCAGCTGCAAAGGAACGCGGATGCGCCGCATCACCAGCCCCAAGCATCGGCTTAGTTGCAGGTGCGTCGACTCGGTCTCTTCAAGCTTGCTCTGGCTGGAGTTGCTGGTCGGGCTGGAGAGGTAGTACATGAAAAGGCCGCACCAGACCAGCATTGCGGACTCCACCCGCATGTTCGTCCTGCCAAGCAGTGCAATGGAAATGGTCGTCACCCATGCAGTCAGAACTGATGGACGGGTCTCGCTGCACATGAGCATGATCTCTGCCAGCAGGGTGTTGCTGGTCATAGCAAAATCCAGCTCTGCGAGCCCTGATCCACTAGTTCCCAAGCTGCTGCGGTGAAAAGAATCGTAGTAGCATAGGGCGAGAAAGGCAGCGCCACTGTAGATGACGTCCTTGGGCACGTTGAGGGCTGCTGAGGCCAGAATTGGCATCACAACGCCCAAAACAGCCAAAACGAGATGCTCCGGCCACTGAGGCGCAGCTTCCGACTCCAACATGCGGCACCACAGCACCACGTGGAACAAGGCTAAGGCTACATCCTGCTTGCTGCCAAGCTCGGCCAACGTTACGGCCATCTGGTACTCCGACGCAACGGAGCGAATCTGGACTAGCCTTGAGCAAAAATGACTCTGGGTTGTCTTGTTGTGGCAGAGGGACTTACTGCAAAACTTCAACAACAGCAAACGACGCATTGGAGTGGATGTAACGCGCTGGATCCTGGTTCCGCCTTCGCTACACATGCAGCCTTCCTTGCATCGGGGCCAGGCATAAGCGCCAATGCCGATTCCGCCGAAGGGGGTGCTTCCTGCATCTGTGCTGTGGTTCGTGGCGGTGGGGTCACGCGTTCAAATACTTGGACCATGGCATACTTCCGTGAACTTCAAAAAGTGAGCATTACTGAAGTGCCCTGGGTCCTCTGCATCCCAACCTCCCCCCCGGCGCCGATTTCGGCGCGTGCGGTGGCTGTTGCTCCTGGTGCCAAAGAATACACCAGCAGGGGTTCTACTGCGATGGCCCATTGCACCTAAAGCCTCCCTGTCTACAAAACGCAGTTCTGAAGGAGAACTTACCTCGAAGGGTTAGCTCACACTTTCTCATGCAACATGGACATGGGTGGTTTCAAACACTAGGTGCCAATAGGACAAAACATCATTGGGCTTTCAAAGATGCATTGCCAAGGTCGTGTAGGCGGAACACTACGAAGCCGAAAAGGTCCCCTCCTGCTCTTCTTCCGAGGGCTTCGACTAGACTTCCGCTCTGCCGGCGGGGGCGGCGGCGCCTCGCGGGATAGGATGACGGGGTTTTCTTGTCACTTCCGGGGGCTTCCGAGACGGCCCCAAGAGAAGGGACTCCGAGGCCATCTCGGACTCTCAGACTCTTCGGGTGCTCTTCGAATGGCCACCTCCGCCATGGCAAAAAAGCTAAGTTACAAAAGTGTTACGAATAGGTAGCGAAGCTACTGAGAGTTGGGTACAGCTCGCGCTGCTCGCAAGGAAGTGCTGTGATGCCACAGTATCTCAGAAGCGATTGCTACAACTTGGACAAGGATGAAGCGACTCAAGCTCTTGCAAAGCCTTTCTACGAGGTCTGCCGGGTGCGCATGCTTGGCATTAAAAGTCTTCACGCCGTTTCAGGCGTCGGGAACGCACTAGGGAACCCGCTTCAAACCACTATGTCACTATGTCACCATACAGAAAGCCTCAAACATGGGAGGGTGTGTCTCGACAGCTAGCATTGCGGGCTTCCCTGACGTCACTACTGAAAGCCAAAACTGCGACACTTTCTTGGCCGCATCTGAATCACGGGCCTTCCTACGTCTCACTGCTAAACCCTTGACTGCACAACACGCTCAGCAAATGCAGTAGTCCACAGCTGGGAGAGGAAACTCATTTCATGGGCACCTCTCTGAGTTGGAGGGACTCTGTTGCCCAGAAGCAAAACAGGGCAAAGGGCATGCTTGAAATGGATCCCAGAACCCGAAAGTCGACAGTTTGGGCTACCTTTGACTCTAAGAAACTGTTAGGCCTCAGCCATCTCAAGCTTTCAAGGCTTCTCTTCGAAGCATTTCTACAGCGCACGTCTCGCAGATTGCATAGTCAGACCGCTCGCAGTACAGGAACTTGGTGCTGACTTCGATATCCGCTTCACACACATCACATTCCTTGGCCGGGACAGGGTGGAAATACTGTAGAGCCAGAGCACATACTCTGAACAAGCACGACGGTCATACCAAGAAGCGTAAACTTCGGCTGCGATTTCGACCACCATCGGATACCCTGCAGGACACTGGAGCTTGTCTGCCAGTCGTGAGTCCTTGGCTGTCCGACCGTCCATGCCAACTTAAAAGCGACCAGGGTGGAATGGAGAAATCTCGTCGCAGCTACCCGTACTTTTGCTTGGGGTTTCTTGTTGACCTTCAAGGTCCTGAAAGCATATTCTACCCCAAACCCTTGTTGGAAGGATGACGCCCCCTTCCATACCTCTACCAAACCCCAAGCCACGAAACCTACTCCCTAAACGCTAAATTACCAAACCCACCCGAACCCGCGCCCTCCTCCCCCTCCCCCATTCAAAGCCAAAAAGCCATACCCTCGGCGGCTGCCTGGGCTGCCTCGTACTCGTCCACACTCACAGGCTGCAAGTTGTCCTCCTTGAAGAGCATATCCTCGGATTTAGACGCGGCTTTCGGCAAGTTTTAAATTAGGCTGCTTCATGCAGTGTTATATCTAAGTATACCATCATACTGATGTTAACACGAATAATCAATATGACCACGGCCGCGGCAAATATTTACAATAGTAGTTAAGACAACAACAACAACTACTACTACTACTACTACTACTACTACTGCTACAACAACAACAACAACTACTACTACTACTACGACGACGACGACTACTACTACTACTACTGCTGCTACTAGTACTGCTGC